AATATCAATTTAGATAATGAATTATAAATTGTAATAAGTTTTATCAAATTAGCAATAAAAAATAATTTTTTTCGGATCGCTGCATTAAATTCAAAAATAAAAATTTTATTTAAAATAAATTGCGATGTATAATACCTGGGGTACTTTACACGAAGTTACTATATTCGCAATGTATAGTACCTGGAGTATTTTACATTCTAAGCCGCTCAAAAAGTGGGAGATTATTATACACAAGAGGTATTATAGAGCATGCTCTACAGTAGATGGAAGGAAATTTAGTCTAAAAATTCAATATTAAAAAGATAAAATAAAAAAAAAATTAGGAAAAATAAAAAAATTCGGAAAATGAAAAATTTGATGAGTAAAATAAAAAAAAGAAAAAAAAAATTAATTATCATCGTTCGAATGTTGAGCTTCACCTGTCAACATTATTTCAACCTCTTCTTCATCATCATCTCTTTCATTTTCTTCATTTCTTTCATCATTTCTTTCATATTCATCGGCATCATTTCTTTTGAATTCTGTATTAAGAATCATGTCGTTTTGGTCGACATATGACCACTGAAGACACTCGTCAGATGCGGTAAATCGAAATGTTGAATTTTATCATCATAATTTCTATTTCTTTGAAATTGCGCTATTTGAATCGATAGCGCATAGGAGTCAAGTATGTCACGCAATAGCTTTTTAAGCTAACAAATAAAATCGTGTTTATTATTGATTGATATTAACAAAAAACAACTAATAATGTCAAAAATGCCAAACCTCTTCAGAACATCATGAGTAATCATAAATGTTGATTATTGTGGCGTTCTGATTATTATCGTCAGATTCGCTAATTTTAGGAGAGTGGAATTAGCGATCGGATAATAACATTAATAAAGGTCGCTACTCATATTTTGTTATCCTTTTATCATTTTTTCTGAAGAGATCTTTAGCAGCCTTTATACTTTCTGAAAAATAAATTATATTATTATTATGGAGAAAATGTTTTCAACTGTTTAATGAATTACATACGCTGTGAATTCAGTGATAGTCGTCATTGATCTTCCCGGTCAATTTTAGTTTCTTTTGTGACCTTTTCGACTTATGGATTGAACTTAACCATTTGGTAAGCTAACTTACCGAAGGACGGTATTTTGATGCCATTGCCTTTCGTAATTCTTCTATGAACTGGCCACGAATTTCTATATTTCTAGAACTATTGAAAGTGTTCTCATAATTGAGGTTATAATCTTTCCTAACGCCTTTTAATATTGCTTTCATCTCAATCTAATATTGGAGTTTTTTTAAAAAAAATGAGTTATTATATAAACATTAAAGCAGATAATAGGAAAAAATTACAAACCCTCGCCTTCTTTCATTCTTTTCATTTTCTTCTGAAGATTCTTCGGAATATTCTGAACTTTCTGATATGCTTTTAACATCCAAATGATGACATTTTCTTTTCCCTTTGACCTTTTGCGACAACTTAGGTTTGTTTGACTTTCTTCTTTTTCTTTTTGGTAAATCTTCATCTTCTTCAGTAGACCAAAAATTAGTAGTAGTTTCCTGAGATAAACTGGGCAATCGATACTTCTCAAACCTGTTCAGTTTATTATGAATGTCATCGTTTTCTTTCTCTAATAATTGATTAATATTAGCAAGAAGTTCAACTTCCTCTTGCAACTCTTTTACATCGCCAGAACTTTCTATTTTTGTTATCTTTGTTTCTAGTTGACTGTTTTGATTACATAATTCTACCAATTCCTCTCATAAATTCTTGTTTTCTGTTAAATAAAAAACAACTTTTACATAAATACAATATAACTATTTGTATTAAAATCAGCAAGGTCATATATCTGTTAACAATTCATTGTATGACATCTGGGATGGAGTTCCTTGCCCTTGCTCTTATTCGTCATCAATATCTTGAAACGATTATGAAAGTCGGATGTTTCCGAATCGTGTTGCAAATTGTGAGGTGGTTATTTTTTTAGTTTGTGAAACTGAAGGAGTCTTATTCTTATGAACAGAAACCAGAGGAGTCTTATTCTTGCGAGGAAAATTATTAGCAGAAACCGAAGGGTCTTATTCTGATGAGAAGAATTAGAAGAAACCAAAGGAGTTTTATTCTGGTAAGAAGAATTAGAAGAATTTGGAAGAATTTTACTAGTGAAAGTTTTCAAGGAAGTTTTATTCAAAAAAACTCTTTTATTTGAAAGCGGATGAAGAGGATTAGTAGAAGAAGACGTAAAATCAGATTGACAAGTTTTATTATTGTCACTAATGGTAGAAGTCATTTGCAATTCAACATATTTATGAAAGTGAGTTTTCTTTTCTTGATATCTTGTCATTCTTGAAGTATATATCAAAATGTAAATGTAAATTGTTAAATTGTTGAAGAAAAGAGGGTAGAAATGGTGTCTTTATATAATAAAATCACTAAGCTTTTTTAAACTTTCAGATAAGCTTTAATAAGCTTTTAACCTTATAAAATCAATTGATTAATATACTATACGACAAAAATTGATTGTTTTACATTTATCAATGATCAATTCAAAAGTCTTAATGATATGATAAAAATAGATTGTTTTACATTTATATTAATGATTAATTTAATGCAAAATTCGAAAGTCTTAAAGTCTTAAAAGTATAATAAAAATAAAATGTTTTAATTTATTCATTGATCAGTTAATGAAAAATTTGAAATTCTTATGATACGCTAAAAATAGCAAAATTCGAAAGTCTTATGATACTTTAATTCAATCAATTGATTAGTTTATTAGTTTTGATGTATTATATTTTCATTATCTTATGTCAAGAATTTTTTTTTTGAAAAGGTTCCAATGTAACACATATTTCAGAAAAAGTTTCTATTTATATATATATATGTATAAATATAAATAAATATATATTATATAAGAGCAAAACCTTCTGAAATCACTTCGCAAATTCAAAATAGTACGAAAAAGGTCATTTTTTCTATACTTGACGAAGATGATTCCTGACCTATTGCTAAACCTTCAAGTAGAATTAGATCAACTTCTTATATCCTTAATGAAAATCCACCATCATCATCACATAGTACACATAGTAGAAGTAATTTAAAATAATGTAATTGTTATAAATGTAACAGACGATTGGTTAACTCTTGTATGAAAAGAATCCATGAAATAATACATCGAAGTGATCAAAATTCAGATGATTTAGATGATTTGGCAAATGTTACTTTGCCAATAATATATCTGCCTAATGAACCATCTAACCTTTCTCAACAAATCCCTAATTTAAGTATCGAAGATAATGAATATGAAGAGGCTTCAACATCAGGATCAAGTCCATGACCTGATGAAATTCATTTATAAATTGAGGGACAAGATGAAGAAAATCAAGATGATCCCTTAGCCTTTTTACCTCGAAACTATATTAGAAGATATACAAATAAGAAAGTTCCTGCTCCTGTTAGTAATTTTGAATAAGATTCACCTATCAAACTTACTGAAAAAGAAGTAATTACTGATGATTCTCAAAGTAAAGATGAATCAACTAACGACGACAAAGAATTTGAAGATTATTTAACTTCTTATTATGAATCAAATCCATTTTCCTTAGAATCGACAAACAATAATAATCAATTTTCGTGAATTTTACTCTGAATTATGAAATTTCAAATGAGATTCAACTTGTCAGAAACAGGAACAGAGTCATTGATAAAGTTCATAAAAATAATGCTGACCAAAGTTGGTTATACTAATCTTGACGACTTTCCCGATTCTTTATTAAGGAAATTCGTGCAATCATGAAATGTCAACATGTTGAATTTCCTAATTCGAAAACGCGAAGATTATATTAATATCAAGCTTCATTATCTGAAAGAACTCCAGCAAATAATGACATTAAAACAAAGTCTATATTAGTCTTTCCATTTGCTAGAATTCGCTAGCAATTGATAGCATTATATAATCAGCCAGGGTTTGAAAATTCTCTTCGACATTGGATGAATCGGCCAAGTTTTGATGATATTTTAGCTGATATATATGATGGTCAAGTCTGGAAAAATTTCCAAGTTGAAGATTCATCGAATTTTTTCTGACCTGAAATGGCAGATTCGCATCTCGGACTCATGTTGAACCTCGATTAGTTCTAGCCATATGATAGTATAGCACATAGTACAGGAGCTATCTATGCGGCAATTTGCAATCTGTCATGTGACATACAGTTCAAACGTGAAAATATGTTAATTCTAGGCTTATTGCCCAGTTCAAACGAAGTAAGTTTACATATGATAAACCACTATTTGGCCCCAATCGTCGATGAACTGAAGTTACTTTAGAGCGGATTAACATTAGACTGTACATTTGAACATTCAGAAGGAAGAACAATTCGAGCAGCTTTATTTCTTATCTTGTGTGACATTCCAGTTGCACGAAAAATTTGCGGTCACATTTCATTTCTTGTATCATATCACCGTTGTGAGAAAAGAGCTAACTATGAAAATCGTCAACATAACTTCGCTAGCATGAATGACATAATTATAGCCTGAGATTTGAACAATCATCGGCAAAATGTTTTAAAGTGGCGGCAATGCAAATCGCAAGCTGCAAGACAGAGATTCATAAAAGAGACTGGAGTCAGATAGACTGAATTACTACACTTGCCATATTTTGACCCAATTCGTTTTACGATCATTGATCCTATACATTGTTTATTTTTAGGTATTACAAGATGGATCGTAAAATGAATTTAGTTTAACGAAGGTATTTTAACACAAAATATTTTAAATAAAATACAAAGAATAATAAACCAGTTCCAAATCCCGGCTGACCTGGGTTGAATTCCGAGAAAAATTCATAGTGGCGAAAGATTTTCAAATTTTACTGCGAACCAATAGCATATTTTTTTCACAATATATACAACGGTTTCACTTTGGGATCATTTGAAAAATAAAGATCGAAAGATTCTTGCACATTTCGTAAGAATTTGCCAACTTTCGATTAGCAGAATTGTGGAAGTTAATTCTCTTAATGAAGTTCATCAAAGATTAATTGAAATTATAAAATTAATTGAACAAAATTATGGAAGAGATAAAATTACTCTGAATCTTCATCTTTCAACTCATTTGAGCGAATGCTTATATGATTATGGACCGTTATATGCATTTTGGTGTTTTTCATTTGAGCGTATGAACGGAATACTAGGCTCAACACCAAACAGCCATCGAAAGATCAAACCAGAAATTATGAGACGAATAATGAATGATTGTAAGATCAGCAATATCATAACTTCAGGAATTGATACGAAAGGTCTTGAATTACTTGACAATCGGCTTTTGGTTGGCTCTCTTTTAGCAACTGATCCATTCGATTCTGAAGAATTAAAAAGATTTTTGGCACATTCAAAAAACATTCAAAATTCAGAAATCACTGGAAGTGAGGCATTTTCAGGTGAAATGCTAAACCCTTGTTTTGAAAATGTTCTGCTTTCACAAGAAATACAAGACTTGATGGTTAATTATTATAATGCAACATATGAATCTCTTGAGTTTCGAAAGCCGTTTGGAGAAGGTTCAGAAGATTCTATAGTAATTCAGGTTAAATTAAATAAATATGGTAGATGTCGAAATTTTTGGATCGATATTCTCAGCTCGTCATTCAAAAAATTTATACGTTACGGCAAAATTTGTAATGCAAGACGGCACTGTAGATTGTTATCCAGGAATTGTACAATTCTTCTTTACACATGAAGTAAACCTGGATAATGAACTTGTAAAACACTATTTGGCATACATTCGATGGTACAAACCTACAAAAAATCGATATCATTTCAGTATTGACGATACTGATCAAATCTGTAACGTTGAATTGTGGGATACTGAATTCTATCCTATTAGCAGGGATTGTATTATTCCTATTCACCATATTTTTTGTCATTTTGTACCAGTAAAATATCAAATTTCAGTACGTCGAAATGCAAAAGAATATTTAGCTGTAAATCCAGTCAATAGAAAGTATAATATACACTAACATTCGTATCACAAATTTTATTTTGAATTATATTAAATTTTTTACATTTATTGTACATTTATTGAGATTATAAATTTCCGAATTTTATTCTGCTGAATTTTGTCAAATTTTCGAATTTTATTCTGCTAAATTATGCTAAATTTCCAAATTTTATTCTGCCAAATTTTGTCAAATTTCCGAATTTTATTCTGCCAAATTTTTTTAATAAAGTTATGATTGCAATTATGTCTAAATTTTGGTTGATGGCTAAATTATGTCCGATTTGTATTACTGATTAGCCGAATTTTGACTAAACTGTCTTATATCTGAATGTCTTATTTCAACTAGTATCCATATTTACACATTTGTCTAGTTTTATACATTCATTCAGATCTTCTAATTTAGTCTTTAAGGACTTTATACTTTTTCTAATCTTTTTACTCTTCTTTCTAAAGTATTATGCTGAAAATGATAATCTTCTAATTGTTTCTTTAATACTCTATTTTCACTAAAAAGCGTAGTATATACTTTAGTATTTGACTCATTTAGTCCAAATATCTGAGCTAATTTCTTTGTATATCTGATAACTTTCTGCTCTCTAAATGCATCAGATAAAAGATTTTGATCAGTTATCATTTTTATGATATATTCTATATGCTATATTTTGCCTCAAACGAAAAAATAAAATTATTAAATATTATCCTGATCTTTTTTGCAATCAGTTTTCATCGAAGAGCTTGAATGCATTTGTCTGATTATATAGTTCTCCTCTTTTTTGTATATTGACTATAGTATATCTCTTAGATAGAGAAGTATGATTGTCAGAACTATGTCGAAAGGCTTCATCAGAAACTGTATTAGCTTTTGACAAATTCTTCGCATAATATGTTATAACTGCAAATACAGATTCTAAATTGTGTAAAGAACTAGGAAATAGTAGTTTACCAATTTCAGAAAGGAATTCATTTTTTTTAGAAATGTATTAAATCATAATGCATCAGGCTTTTCAGGATCCTTCAACTGTCTAGAAGAAATTACATTCTGAATCTAAATAAAGAGTTGCTTAGCCCATTTCTTATCCTTCTCTAATGATCTAAACACCTAAGAAATATCCTATTAACCTTAGTTTTTTACATATTCTATTATATTACTATTAGATATATACAAGTTTTTAATTTCAGTAAGACGAATATAGAGCATTATTATTATATCGGCTAGGGTTTGTTTATCAGGTATATTAGTCACATCATATGAATCTAATCTTTCTAATAAGAAGTGATCCAAAAAATAGAACCCTTAATCTTCACATTATTTACTATACTCTTTTTAGATTTTATTAGATAAGTAGGTCA